GGTGGTAGAAGGGACCCTCTCGCTCCTACAATCTCGGCGCTTAGGGCATAGTGGAAGCCCCGTTGCTACCGTCGTTCGCTTTCCCGCCTCTCGATCGGTGTCACGTTAGACAAGTGTCGAGACAATACAGAGTGCTATTATTCGTTCTAGGACCCACGCACAACCAGCTAATCGCCGAGTGATGAGGCGATGTTTTTCTCCCATTCTTTTTCCTCTGTTATTCTTTTTACTGCCGCGATCCCTTATTTATTTCCTACCCCTAGAGGCTGAAAAAGGTGAGCTATTTTTGCTGTTACCAGGGTTTTTTTGTTTATTTGTGCTTATAAGTGAATGAATTTTTGCTTACCATTGTCTGTTATTCGCGCCAGGACCCACACGCACGCAGTGAGACACATTGTATAGCTCGTCCAGACGCCCCACCCTTCTTCATTTTTCTTGTTTCATTCTCGTCCAGCCCCCTTTTTAACGGTTTTTGGAAGCTTTTTTCACTTTGGAAACACCGGTGTACGCAGTTTCTTCACCTCAGCCGCACTAGTTTCGATTTTGTCTTCCATTTTTCATCATACCCAAAATTACCAAAATTAGACTACCCAAAATTATCGTGAACTGTACCTTTAAATAGATTTGTGCAGCGCATAGAGTAGAAACTACAAGAAAAAAAACGCAAGAAATAAAGGAAGTAAAGTAGGAAAAGTAGGAAAACCATCGTTAAGGGAGAGGGAAGGAATGACGGAAGAATGCGGGAGAAAGAGGTCGAGTGATAAAGGTTACAAAGTCGTAAAGTCAAAAGGGCAAAAAGTCAAAAAGGTTGCGAAATCCACAAAATGCTGTAAGAACTTATTGAAGACGTAGAAGTTGCTTGCTGAATTTTTCCAGAATTCCAAGGAAATCGATAAAGAAATGAAGGAACTGAAACGATTACTCGAGATCAAAACAAGGGAGGTCAAACGTCTAGGAGATGTAAGTATTAGCGATCACTCTCTTGCAAGAGGTATTCCTTTCACCACCATCACTTCCAGCTGTGTGATGAGTTTGACGAGGTAGAAGTGAATTATCGAACGACCGTCTTCGATTTGATTGAAGAGAATGATAAGCTCAAAGCGCAGTGAGGACTCACCGCTACTCCCGAAATTCCCAATCTGAAAGATGCTCTAACAGAAGGGTGAGTGATTTGTCAATCCGCTGTCTAGTGTGGGAGCCATTGTTGGAAGAATGTTCATTTCTTCTACAGAGTGCAAGTGCTATCCCCGGAAACCACACGGGTTCCAAGCAACGATCGCATGGTAATTACTATGTTCTCAAAGAAACTAGTTGAACTGACTTTAGAGCCTTTTAGAGCGAAGATAGAGGAAGAAAAGTTGAAGGAACTGGAGGAAATGGTTTATCAGCTAACAAAGGGGAACGCACGTCTGGAACAGGTACGTCTAAACTTCTTGATTCTATTCTTATTATTTTGCCATTTATTGAGCATCGTTTATAAAGATAAACCTAGCGGGACAGATAACACTAAAGCTCCCTATGCGTGGCGGGAACGGTGTTATTCCACTTTTCCTCTTTTTTCCTAATCCCATCACCGTATTGTTGTAATACACTTATGTCTCCGTTGAAGTTACTCATAGATATCTCATGATACGATGATAATTAACAGCTGATAGCTAACATAACTGTATTATCCCTTGGAACATAGCGCGACCAACGAGTAGATATTTTAAAGTGTGCACTTCGTAGTCGAGCAACTTTCGCTGTCCAAATTTGATCTTGCTAACTGATCACGGTTTCATCTTTTTGCATTATCTTTCCCTTCTGTTGTATTGTTTTTCCTTATGTTCCATAATGCGGCGCCACTTTGTCTTTTGTTTCGTCTTCAGTGCCACTTCGGTACAACGTTCCCTATTTCAGTTGAAAAAATCAAGCATGCGAAATTGGCAAAGGAGACAAAAGAATTGAGAAGGCATTGTAAAATTCAAGAAAACCGAATATCGCAATTGGAAAAGGTGAGGGAACTCATCAGATCACTTGATAGGTATGGTATAGCTTACAAAACTCAAACAACAAAGCTTACCAAACAAAGAAAGTGGAATGGAAACGCTCATTTTCGATCTAATAGTTGAGCTGGCAATGTTAAGAACACTAGTAAATTTATATTCCAATTGACATTATATGGTGCACAGTCTCAGCCAACGCATAATCTCGCCGTAGTTTTCAGAGAGTGGATTGCTTAATTTTGAAGATTGTTCTAGATTGTTCTAGTTTATATAACGTCCCATCTTGTTTCATTTCATTCAGTTTTTCCAAATCGCTTTTCAACTAAAATCTGAATTTTCTCAGGTTGTGATGATGCTGACGCACTGGAAAGCAAGCTGAAGCAGAGAATTGCTCAGCTGGTAAAGCAAATAGCTCCTAAGAAAAGACCTGATGAGACTACAAGATCAAACAAACCACAACCTCGTCTTTTGGATGCCCTTACACACAGGTTTGTTAATAGCCTATGTACCTTTTATTTGGGTTTTACTCCTAAAATTCGAGCGACTGTCGAGATCCGTGATAGCAGGAAATGGCCGTTTTCCCTCACGGAACATGATTACTGCCCTTTTTCTTCAATTATGCTTGCTTTTCGAATATGCTTATCTTCTTTACGAGCGCTCTTTTCCCACTTAATAGGTTTCTCGTTATATCCCCCTTCTCTCTGATTCCTACCACTTCGTAGGCACTTTACTTTGTTAACAGTCAGGCTCTGTATGGTTCGGGTTTCTTGATCTTGACTGCCTCTCGAATGTGATGCTTCGTAATAGTCCTCTACTGTTGTTGTGTACCTTTTGATTCAATCCAGTTGATTTCTCAACCAATTATTGTCCTTGTACTTTGTCATCCTCTCATATTTACTTCTCCTTCTCGTTCTCCTTCTTTCTTCACCCTTTTCCTTCATTAAGTATTATACCCCCTCACCTTATTCTAACCTCTGTTTCAGTTTGCATTTTCATTCTG